TGGGGGGGGGGCGGGGCAGAGGAGGTAGCCAGGAAGATAGGAGGCAGAGTCTATTTAAGAACAGTCGTATCTACTGATGTTTTCCTCTCACTATCCTACTTCATAAGTGGTGGTGGTGAATTAAATCTATGTTTTCCTCCCCAATTTGCTCTGGTTCTTTATCTGTCATCTCAAATGGCAGATTATTACCCTCCCTATCCCTAATCTCAAACCCCTGGGCCTTTTTAGTTGAATTGTCTCCCTCCACATCACTGTGGAATTGGAAGTGAGGTGACAAGAGAGCTGAAGACTGCATGGTTCTTTGTCCCAGTCAGCTTGAACCACGACAGCAATCTATAAACCATGTAAAAAAAATTCTATTAAATATATCCACTGAGCAATCATTTTAGGAAGCATAAGCTATGGAAAACTAAGTAAACAAAAGGTACTTGAACAAATTAATACCAATTCATTATTGGAAACCATAACTATGTAACTTGTTTAAAATAGTGACAGTGAGAAAAAAAAACGAGTTACAAGGAAGGAAGTCGAGGAAGTTTATGTGTCAACCGAAGAAACATTTTATAGGCAAGAGAAGTAAAACAAAACCCAACTATTTTGGTCAAGATGCAGACATAAAATACGTGATCCTGACATAGAAGCCACCTCTGACTCTCCACCATGATTAGCCTGAAAGCTGATGCCTGAACCTGACTGTGAAAGAGATAATAAAAACATCAAAAGTACAGAACATGAAGCTTATCTTGCTTCCACTAAGTAAAAGACACAATCAGATAATGAAAAACTAAAAGGACCATCATACCTGACCACCAGAAACATGAGGCTTGTTAAAGAACTGTTAATATAGACATTTTAGTGACATATAATCAGGGCCTTCAGAACTGTATTTTAAGCATCACCAAAGAGATACAAATACATCCTGAGGTCCAGGGAAAGAAAGCAATCCCAAGCTGAAACTCTGTAAAGGTCAGAGGAACACACTTCCAAAGCAGAGTTTCCACCTTCACATTTGAGAATGACTCTACTGAACTCCCTGTCATCTCAGAACTACTAATGTCAGATTCTGTTCTGAGCAGTCATATCTGTATGTGCATCCCTAGTTCTAGGCCAGTCAGAGACTTTGACCAAATACTTACGACTTCCTTGAAACTATCCGCTTTTGAACTGATCTGGAGACAGTCACTGATGTAATTCACATTATTCATTAACTCTGCTGCAATTAGCAAGTTAAAGCATATTTAGGTTAGAGAATGTGATTTCTGTTTAGAATAACTTTGTCATCAAGAAAGAAGCTCACACCGACTCACATCTCCGTGTCACTGTCAGTGACTTCATTACCACGGGCAGCTGTAAATATCTGATGAAATTACCTGCAATTCAGTTTTTCATCAGTTTAGAGAGAAAATGAAACTAGAAAGATCAAAGATAGTCACGAAGAGAATTTGAAACCTCTTACAGGCATAAAATTATCTAGAGTCTACATCACAACTCAACAGAAAACTTTATAGAAAAGGCTGCAGCCATAATTAAAAGAATTCACAATATTAAAAAAAAAAAGGAGTATTAAGTGTAAATTGTGACTATGTGAAACATCAACAGGAATAAATTGTCCGTATGTGAGAAAGAACAACACAAGCTGAGTTAAGAAAAGGTCTTTTCAGGAAACAGGAAAACTGGGGAATATCTTTATTTAAAAAAAACTGTAAGAATTTACCTTCTAAAAGCTGAAAGACTACAGAACTGATGTTGATAAACATGTAGCAGTAATACCAACCTGAACAACAGCACACTGAGCAACAACATAGTAAATCTGCAACAAGTATATTTCGATCAGAAATTAGGTTATCAGCCCTCGAAGGATGGATGTTAGCAACCTTGCAGGTTCGCAGCTTTGAATTTAAGATAATGATATTAAAGACCACTTACAGACCTATGAAAAGTCCCGCAGAATATGTATCCAAAACATTTGCAAGTTTTTGTAAATAAAAAAAATCTGTAAAATTCAAGTCCAATCTCTAAAAAAATCGTAATTTCATATTTCATTTGACTTCATTTTGAACAGGAAATATGCCACAGGGCTGAATAACTAAAAAGTTGTGGTTCCACTGGAGGTTAAACAAAATGGGTCATTTGAAAAGGTCAGTTCTATAACCTGTTGAGGTTAATAAAATCCATCTGCTTCCAGATGTTATTCTGATCAACAGAACCAGAACACCTAAGATATTTTCCTGGTAGCACTTCCTAAATTTTAGATTAAAATCTTCAGAAAACATCTATTACGGCATAAGTATCACTTTGTGAGGAAGCATACATACTTTACTGTCTTGAATCTTACCTAGAAATCTCTGCTTGGGAATTCTTCTCTCCATCAACTGTAAATGGTGATGCTCCAGTTAATAATTCATACATAAGAACACCAACACTCCACCAATCAACAGCCTATAAAAAAAATAATTATGTATGTTATGATACATATAAGCAAAACTATTAACAAAAGAACGTCAACAAATTGTTAACAAAACAATGCACCCAGAAAGCAACTAGCAAAGGAAGGGTCCACCTAGCAATAAAAAGACAAACTGAGATACAATAAAGCATAAACGATTGCAGTACTAATTGGAGCTACCTTCTACGATAAATTAATTTTATTTTGAAACTTTTCCACTTAGGTTCTACAACTAATTTCTCAAGTTGAATGACCTCTTTCCACTGTCTACTGAAATTCTTTTTCCCCCCGCCTCCCCACTCAATTCATTTTCACTCTTACCACTATGAACACACTCAAAACAGCAGAGGAACCTAAGCCTTTTTAAGTAATGGTAACATGAGCTTTTAGGAGCTCGAGAAATGAAACTAAGGAACTTTCAGAAAGCATAGGTAACTGCAAAATCACCCTTATGTATCAGCTAACATTTGACATTGAATTGTGAAGTTATTTCCTATAGAAAACTGTATGGCTCCGCATTGCATCTAATTAAAGTATCAGATAGAACCGAAAGATATCAAAACGGAGATTGGCCTTTAAATCAGCAACATTATTGAATTTGTAACTGCTTGAGAAGGCAATCACAATTCAAAGTGACTGATGCCATCGGAGAGATGCTCTGAAACTGGCAAGGCTAAACTAAGAAAGAGAGTGCAAACAAGAGTTTCAATTCGGAAGTTTGTAACATTCCATTTTTAATAACGACTAGGCAGGCAGTACAGTAGAAAAAAAGATGCAGAGGTTATACTGGAATACAAAGTAGGTGTGAGACAATGACTAAGTGAAATGACAAAACACAATTCTATTTTATTTAGTAGAAAAGTCAGGAAGGTAATTATTCTGCTGTATTTCAAAGTGCCAGCTATTAGCTGGAACCCTGTGTCCCTTACAGGCTCCCCAGCTGAAGAAATATACAGGCAAATTCAGACCAACCAAGAAGCAGAATGGACAGAGAAGAAGAAAGAATCTTCTCAGGCAAAGGTCAGACTGATTTCAGTTAGTCTAGAAAAAGGGTATGAAGGGTGACATAACATTTTCCAGTGCTTAAAAAGGCTGGTGCAAGAGGAACTGTCATCAACTATACCCTCTAGCCCCCAAGGGAAAAAAAAAAATCAACTCACTCTACAGTAAAATAAAACCAACATCCCAGACATTAAATATTCTCCCAAATTTCTGAGTACAGCAAGCAAACAGAACAATTCTCCAAGTGGTAGACGAATCAACAAGAAGGGGTGCCATGCTGGACCTTGTTCTCACCAACAAGGAGGGGCTGGTGGATAATGTGAAGGTTAAGGGAAAGCGCTGGCTGCAGAGACCATGAAATGGCAGAATTCAAGATCCTCAGGGCAACAAGGAGAGTGCCCAGCAAGCTCATCACCCTGGACTCAGAGAGCAGACTCTGACCTCTTCAGGCATCTGCTTAGCACAGTACCATGGGATGAAGCCCTGAAGGGGACAGGAGCCCAAAAAAGCTGCTCTGTATTCAAGGAGCACCTCCTCTGTGCCCGGGAGCAATGCATTCCGAAAAAGAGGAAGGCCGGTAACAATGTCAGGAGGCCTGTGTAGATGAACAAGAAGCTCCTGGACACACTTTAAGACAAAAAGAGAATTTACAGCAAGTGGAAGAAAGACAAGTAGACTGGGAAGAATGCAAGGAAGTGGTCTGAGCAGCCAGGGATCAGGTTAGGAAAGCTAAAGCCCAGACAGAATTAAATGTAGCCAGGGACATCAGGGGTAACAAGAAGAACTTTCACAGGCACGTCAGTGATAAAAGGAAGGCCAGGGAAGATGTGGGCCCTCTCTGGAAGGGAACAGGAGAGCTGGTCACGAAGGATACGGAGCAGGCAGAGGTTGTCAATGATGTCTTTCCCTCAGTCTTCACTGGCAAGGGCTCCAGCTGCACTGTCCAAGTTGTAGAAGGTGAAGGCGCGGGCTGAGAGAAGGAAAATCCACCCGCTGCAAGTGAAGATCAGCTTCAAGATCATTTAAAGAACCTGAAGGTGCACAAGTCCATGGGACCTGATGAGATCCACCCACAGGTCCTGAGGGAACTGGCAGATGAAGTTGCTGGGCCTCTGTCCATCATATCTGAGAGGTCAGGGCAGTCCGGTGAAGCATCCACTGACTGGAAAAGGGGAAACATCACCCCCACTTTCAAAAAGGGAAAACAGGAAGACCCAGGCAACTACAGGCCAGTCAGTCTCACCTCTGTGCCTGGCAAGATCATGGAGCAGATCCTTCCGAAGGCTCTGCTATGGCACATGGAAAATGTGGAGGTGATTGGTGGCAACCAACACAGCTTCACCAAGGGAAAATCCTGCCTGACAAATCTGGTGGCTTTTTGATGGAGTAACAGAATCAAGTGACAAGGGAAGAGCAACTAATGTCATCCACCTGGACTTGTGCAAGGCCTTCGACACCGTCCCACACAACATCCTGGTCTCCAAGTTGGAAGTGGATTAGGAACTGGCTGGAAGATTGCACTCAAAGAGTTGCGGTCAATGGCTCAATGTCCAAGAGGAGACCAGTGACAAGTGGTGTCCCTCAGGTACCAGTACTCGGACCAGTACTATTTAACATCTTTGTTGGTGACATGGACAGGGGCACCAAGCGCACCCTCAGCAAGCTGGCCGATGACACAAAGTTGTGTGGTGTGGTTGATACCCTGGAGAGAAGGGATGCCATCCAGAGAGACCTTGACAGGCTTGAGAGGTGGGGCCAGGCCAACCTCATGAAGTTTAACAAGGCTAAGTGTAAGGTCCTGCACCTGGGTCAAGGCAATCCCAAGGACAGATACAGGCTGGGCAATGAGAGCAGTCCTGGGGAGGAGGATTTGGGTGTGTTGGTGGATGATAAGATCAACATGAGCCAACAGTGTGCGCTTGCAGCCCAGAGAGCCAACCATATCCTGCGATGCATCAAGAGATGTGTGACCAGCAGGTCGAGGGAGGTGATTCTGCCCCTCTACTCTGCCCTTGTGAGACCCCACCTGGAGTGCTGCATCCAGCTCTGAAACCCCCAACACAAGAAAGACATGGAGCTGCTGGAGTAAGCCCAGAGGAGGGCTACAAGGATGGTCAGAAGGTCTCAGTCCTCTCCTTCGAGGACAGGCTGAGAGAGTCAGGCTTGTTCAGCCTGGAAAAGAGAAGGCTCCAGAAGTACTCCAGAGTACCTGAAGGGGGCCTATAGGAAGGCTGGGGAGGGACTGTTCACAAGGGCCTGTAGTGATAGGACAAGGGGTAATGGGTGGAAGCTGGAAGAGCACAGGTTTAGACTAGATATAAGGAAGAAGTTCTTTACCCTGGGGGTGGTGAGGCACTGGGACAGGTTGCCCAGGGAGGCTGTGGATGCTCCATCTCTCGAAGCGGCCAAGGCCAGGCGGGATGGAGCACTGAGCAACCTGATCTCGTGGGAGATACAGGGGGGGTTGGAACTAGATGATCTTTGAGGTCCCTTCTGACCCAAATCATTCTATGATTCTATGAATTTATCTAGGAATATCATAGAATTCCTTTGAGCAATATTTTTTTTATGTTTTGCTTTCAAATATCATTTGTAAATTATTGTTGTCTTGATCTTTCCCCTCAATTACTGACACCTTAATTCATAACAAAACTTGAGCCTCAAGCTAAACAGGATTTTTACAATCTGAGAACATTTATAACTTTAATAACCCACTCCATACTCTAGGGAAGATAACAGTTCTCCCTGATGTACAATTAAAAAAGAAATAAATATCAGAATTAGTGACAAAACAGTCATTTTCCACTCTGAACTAAACAGTTTATTTCCAAGGAAATGTCAGCTAAGTTGGTTTTTTTGTTCTGCTGCACGTTTAGAACAAATTCTGAACAGAACACAAGTGAACCTCAAGTTTTTACAAATATGTCTTTTACTTAAGATTAAAACCTGAAATAATCTATTTTAGGACAGCCTGAAATAATACATGTTTAAATAAGACACTATCACATTTTACAAAACCCCCTCAAGGTGAACAAGTGTTGTCTAAAGAATAAATTTCTTTTAAGTAATAAACTTGGATAAAACATACCTTATCATGTCCTGTATCTCCTCCTTTTACAATATCTGGGGCCATGTATTCTATTGTTCCACAGAAGGAATATGCTCTCTCGTTCTAGCAAAACAAGAAAATAAAATTCGAGTCAAACAATTGTATTGTACGGATCATATGGGATAGATATGGCTAACAGTTCCAAGATGCTGGCACCAATTCTTCTCCAAATAGCTCAGAACTTCTAGCTAAATCATATTCCATCATATGTTAGAAGCGTATCACATAATGTTACAGAGTATTTAGCCTTCTATGAAAAAATGTCATAGTTTTACATGACAGTCTAACATAAACACACAAAACCTAACACACTGATATTTTAAAAACTCTCCTGTCAGTCTAGATGATCTATACATTTCAGAACTACACAAGATTCCCCAAGGTAATACACGTTCACATCCTGAAGGCTGCAATATCAATACTCTAGACAAAAAACGAAAACCTTTCCATTAAAAAGAGTATCTCATTTTTAGATGTATAATTTGACTAAATCGGATACAAGATCCTTTGGGTTCCCCATACTTTAGAATTTATTATGACCTCTAGAAAAGCAGTTTTATGTCGCAATACACACAGAAAAAACACAACATTCTCTCAAGAAGAGACTCAGAGAGATACAAGAGAGAAAGAGAAAGGCAGACAGAGTTGTAAATCTAGTTTTATTCTACACACTGAAGTAATTGTCTTGATTATGTTCAAAACTAAGCTGCTTCCACAGGCATGTATAATTGTTCCCTGTTAGTGATTTACCTTTGAGGTCAACATGAGGTCATGCTGTACCTTGCTAATGACGAAAGCACATGTGTTTGGGCCATGCAACATTGCTCCTCCCTTATCCTTCAAGCTTCTAGCATTTTGGGGACAGATCCTGACAGGTCCTTTAAAGAAGAGTGTTCAAAAAAGCAAATATTTCAAAAGTCAGGTTTTACATTCGTAGATTCAGATTTGGAGTTTAAAACAGGTGCTATATAAGAGAATGTTCTACACTAGTGAGAGGAATCTTCTAAAAGTAGAAATAGTGCTCAGTGCTACCCTGAGGCATAAAAATTAAACAGCCCAACAGCATATTATTAAACTGTATTTATTAAAATACATATACTGTGACTGGTTTTCTTGGGTAAAAGTCTCAGTTCAAAATAGTTATAGGCCTCAATTTATGCAAATATTAACTTAAAATATTAGCTTCTAAGACAAAACAGTAAAATAAACTTCTCATGATTCCACTTTCTTTTGATACTTTAGTTTCTCTTTGGTTATCTTTTCCAGTACCTGTTATCTAAAAGAAAAATATTATGACAAAAAGCAAAAAAAAAAACCCAACCAAAAAAAAAACCAAAACAAACAAAAAAAAAGACAACTCAGAAATTCCTAGCCCCCTGTCCTGGCATCAGCCAATTTAAAGTTATTCATATATCCCTCTTCATTTTTCCTTCAGCTGGGAGGGAGGGAAGGAGGAAGAAGGAAAAGGGAGCAAAAAATACAAAACTTCAAGTGCTGCCTCTCCGAAGAGTAAAGATAATGCAGCCAAACTGAGATTTATGAAAACGATTTAAAATGTTAATATATCAAAAGTAATGGCTGAAAACCATTCTCATTCAGCTAGCTGCAAATTCGGCAAATCATCTGCAATATTATGTCTTTTTTGTCTCTCGGTTTTGCAATATACAAGGTTACAAGATACTACAGTGACAAGAAACAGACTGGAGAGTTGTATGTGAACATGTACAGTGGTACAGCAGAACCCTTATGATCTCAAGTACCTTTTGCTGGGGAGAAGGCCCACTAAAAACATTTCAAAACATACAAAACTATTAGTAGTCACTTTTTTGAAGAACAATTACAATTCTTACTATACATAATTGGTGGTTCTGTTTTTCAGTTATATTTACTTTTTGCCTTTTAACAATCATTTTAGCTTTTAATATGAAAGATGGAATTTTTTAAACAGTATTTGAAAAGTAGGGTTTTTTTTCTTGAATTCATATCTTAAGTATATTTTTCCTTCTAAACTTCAGCATTTAAAACTCCAAAAATAATTTTGGAGGTTTCAAAAATTATTGTGTCACTTAGAATAGTATCTTATTATTAAATTTCAATGTAAAAAAAAAAATAATACTGTAAGTCACAAAAAGGCATTTATAAATTGAAACACTCTGGGCTATCTTGCTAACAGGGTTCATAAAAACTCTAGCTTCTAATTCACATAGGTAAGTACTTGCATCCTTCAGCTCTTGCCTCCTTTTTAGTTTAGGAGTAGCCTATGACTGAAATTCCAGACTGAACAGAGCCAAGAAGAAAACAGGCAATTATCACAAGCAGAGTTCTTTGCCAGAAATTAAGTAGTAAATTGAAACTCAGCATTAGCTAGGGGGAAGGAAAAAAATGGACTCACTGAGCATTTTTGTAATCAACACTGATTTACCATTACATACACTCACATCATACTCCTGAAGCCCTGTTGGAACCAGCTTATGAATTTACAGGGTGTCAAGAAAAAACTCTGGTACCAGTTACTTATAGTTTCTTATTTAACCACACACTAAAGCTCAGATGACTACCCAGAACATTAATAAAGCCAACTGCGTGAAAGTAAAGCATTCTAGCTCAACTACAACTTGACACAAATTTGCCTTCATAAGATGCTGCAGAAAGTCCTGACTTCAGACTGCTGAAGTCACAGGATGTGAATATTACTTTGACACCTGTTTATGGTGCATTTTATTAAATTATAAGCCCCACCAACTACACCTAGCTGTTATTTAGAGAACAGTTACACCAGAACCATTTATGTAAATTTCTCATTGTTAAATACACATATTATAGGAAGTCACTACTAGTCTTTACTTAATTAGGTATTTACATGTGAGTTTAAAATAATTTTCAAAGAATGTTATCTCCAATAGCAGTTTCCTTTTCTATCCTGTTCTGGTCTTCCCAGCACAGGGGAGGCATAAACACATGGGAGAGGGTCCAGCAAAGGGCTGTTAAGAACAACTGAGGAACCGAAACACGACAGGAAGGCTGAGAGAGCTGGGACTGTTCCACCTGGGGAAGGGAAGGCTCAGGGGGATCTCATCCATGTGCATAAACGGCTGAAGGGAGGGGCCAAAGAAGAAGGAGCCAGGCTCTTTCCAGTGGTGCCCATGCATGGACCAGAGGCAGTGGGCACACATGGAGACACAGGAGGTTCCTTCTGAAGGCCAGGAAATATTTTTTTGCTGCGATAGTGACTGAGCACTGGCAGAGGTTGCCCACAGATGTGGTGAAGTCTCCATTCTTGAAGATATACAAAAGGCAACTATGGCTGAGCAGGGGTTTTGGACCAGATGGCCTCCAGAGGTCCCATTCAGCATCAACCATTCTGTGCTTCTGTGACAAAAAGTCACTGTAAGCTGTATTTCATCATTCACTTGTGATATCACACTTCACTCAGAAATCAAATATGCAAGCACCCAAAAATTTCAAAACCTACAACAGAACTCCAATTCACATTATTAATGCTTTCATGTTATGAGAGGTAATACAAGAAATCAAACTATTAAACATCTGAATGTGGTTCACCTACAGGTGAATTCTCAGCGAATACATGATCTTGCAAGGACTCAAGCTTAAGAATTTTTTTTGCATAAAGGATAATGCTCATTTTCTTCCCTCATCGAGCATGTATGCCTTAAACACTGTGGTTCCCTCTTCTAAGCTGCAGAACACCAAGCAGTCAGACAGTAACAGACGGAAACGGAAGTGGGGCCAACCCATCTCTAATAACCCAGTATGAGTATATTGACCTTGTCTTTAAAAGAGGTACATTAGTTTTGCTCCTAGTCAGCACTGTTTCCATGTTTACAGACAATCTGGAGATAGTCTTCAGTCTTCTAGCACACAACATCTGGTTTTGATTTGTTTTTTTTCCTTACCAAGTTCAGCATCCTTCTTGAATGTTTACACGATAGCATAGTTTCTAGTAAAGGTATACAAAGTAGCTACCTCAAATCTGTTAGCTGCTTAGAAGTGCAGCAACTTTTCATAAAGCCACTGATAGAAAGAATTGTGTCAAGAATTCTTCAACAGTGAACACAGATAAGTTGAACTGCCTTGCTGTCCAGGTCATTTTGTTAAGCCATCCCTCAGCTAAATTAGAAAAATAAGTTACAGTCCCTTAATACTTGTGCTTCGAGATCAGCTACACACTGACAGCATGGATGTGCCTATCCGTATTGCCATGCTGTTTCTAATAAATACTCTAGTACTGAACATGTGGTAGACTCCAACTTTTCCCACTCCACTCATGGCAAGATAAAGGATAGTGCACTGCCCTCTTTCTAAGCTCCTTGCAATCACTCTGATCTGAGCATAAAGCAAAGTAAAGCAAACAAAAGTAACTGCTTCAACTTGCTAGGCACTTTCAATACCACATCCATATTATTCCCCCAGCCTTTTCTCCACATTATCTATTTTAGTATCCCATTTTCTTTTTCCTTCACCAAAAAAGAAATGGCATGATTTGTCTTCCAACCAGGAAGTCTCGACGGCACCTCATCACCAAGCAGCTTTAGGTCATGGAATTAGAATTCCGTGGCTAGCCAAGATGGAGAGATGTAATACGGATTAGCATTTGTCCTGGAAGACAGTCGCTTCACCAGAGAGAAAAATCTCAGAGCAGTGTCGTCTTTGCTAAGATTATATTCACTGACTTTGGCAGGTTGACCACAATTACACCATCTCCAGAGATCAAAAAACCGAGCTCCAGAATTCAATTAAAAGTGCAGACAGAAAAATGGAGGTCTTGCACCACCATGCTCTAGATCGTTTTACGGTATCATCACTTGGCCCTGCTTTATAACTAAAGAGTGCTAGGCAAGCACAGAAACTACCTGAAGTCATAGAAAACATGTGTGTAAAGTTATGCCTTCAGAGTTCTCTAATAAGCTTCCTCAGCAAGTAAGCAAAGCACATTAACAGTGGGGGGAAAAAAAAGTAAGAGGAAAAAACTCCATCTCTCTGCATAAATTAATCAAAACCACCACATCTACAAGGAAAGCCTGACTGACAGAGAAACAGTCACT